TTTGCTTGGCTTGCAAATATTTAATTTTCCTTCTGATCACCGAACTCGCTGCGATGACACAGCCAAAGAATTTACTTCATTGGCCTAAAACCACAAGAATACTCGAAAAACTGCAAATAAATTAATGACCGTCGCTTCTGCCGAAATAAACTTAAAAAGTAAACACGATTTTATTTGTCACGTAGCGAAAGTGAAAGCTGCAGCGTCAGCGCATTCCGTGGCTGTCGTAATACCTTTTTTTTAGCGTATTTATTATTTCCCTTCGAATCCAACGCTTCGATAAAACCAAAAGAAAATATATTTTACCCAAAGTAAAGAAAATAATATCCGTAACATTGCCCTTGTATTAATGTTTCAACAGCTTTTGGCGAGTAAACATCACAGGTTGTGTCATTCAAAATTTGGCCGCGTGGAAGTTTGGGTTTGGCCACCGACAAAACTAAAAAAAAAAAAAATATTAAACCACGGGTAAACCATGAACCGCGCTCGGCCCATGGCCGCGCGGTTAAAAAAAAAAATAAAAAAAATAAACCATGGGTAAACCATGAACCGCGCTCGGCCCATGGCCGCGCGGTTAAAAAAAAAAAGATAAACCACGGGTAAACCATGAACCGCGCTCGGCCCATGGCCGCGCGGTTAAAAAATAAAAATTAACCACGGGTAAACCATGAACCGCGCCGTGCGGTTAAAAAATAAACCACGGGTAAATCATGAACCGCGCTCGGCCCATGGCCGCGCGGTTAATAACAAAGAAGCAATGGAAAACTCTATTGTATTTGAACAGAGTTGTTTTATTTCTGTCTATTAAGTTAATAGACCGGGTAGAAATCGATTTATTCCCAATCGTAGATTTTTATAATGACTGAGGCGTATAAGAAGCAACCGAGATTTATATAGACTTTAGCCCAAGGCGCTAAAGCCGGTAGTAATCATGTCCAAAGGAAATTTCTTTTCTGCTTAGCGTCTATTTAAAGTGAAAATACAAATTGACGATCCAAACACGGAAAAGCAATTTCCATGTCGCCTATACATAATTAATATTTCCCAGGTTGGAAAATTAAGTACACGTAATAGAAATAATGTATATTTTATTCTGTTACTAAATTACCCTGCTAAAATGTATTTCTTCCTATTCTATACTCAATAATGGGCCGAATTGGGCAAGGGTTCTTCGGAATGAAGGTTCTTTAACTTGGAAAGCTTGGTACCTGGTAGACCACATAATGAGGCTTCTGTCAGCAAAACTATTTCACTTATAGGAGTGATCAGATTTCTAGCCAGTAAGCGGTACGTGTTAAATCGTATTCAACGAGCAGAGAGAGTGAGACCCATGTTAAGCTTACTAATATATTCCTAAAATTTCACCTCTTTTTAATGAGAAAATCACATGACTTCTGTTACTAAAAATAATTCTATTACATCATTCTACCTATTTTCAGATTATGACGTAACACCTCCAATGACACCCTA